ATAACATAAAGAAATTGGGCCCAAAATTTTCTTTTATTAAACATATATACATATTCTTTACAAACATATACATTTTTACACAAAATGTATGACATATACAAAAGTCATCAAAAACAGAAGGGACAGTGTAACCACTTCTTCTCGAACGCCGACGTCCATCCGACAGTGTCCTCACCTAGGTCCTGCAAAACATAGGAAAACAACGGGGTGAGCACTAAAACAATGCTCAGTAAGTAAATCCTCTACTCATGCTAGCCCCGTAACTCTCTTTCTCTAATTCTTTCCTTACAACTCCTCGTTTAATTTCTCTTTGGGTGCGTCTTTCTTTTTCTCTTAGAACTCTTTTCTCATAACTCTTTCATAAATCACGACCCCATCTTACCGGGGGCACGGCCGGGACTCACTCCCACTCTACGTGACTTCTACTTATTCTAGCCGATCGAACTTGGTTATGCATGGATTCGGAACCCTTGGCCACGTGAGTGTATAATCTCTCTCTCGGGTACTCGGGTACTCGGGTATAGCCCTCATCCTCATGCACTCTCACGGGCTACACCACTTCTCTATCTTATACTCATGCCGCTCTCTCAATGCGGCGTACATGCAGGCATACTCTACCCATTACTCACGGGTTCCCCATCGCATAACCTACTCTATGCTCTTATCTCTCTCTTATTCTTCTTATGTTTGCTCATCTCTTTTTCAAGCTAGTACTCATACTCAAGCTACTACTCATACTCAAGCTACTACTCATAATATAGCTTAACTCTTAGCTTTTTCTCATCTCTGTTCTATCTATTTCTTTTCCTTCTCATTCTTACTCATTGGAATGTCACGACCTCATCTGACCGGAGGCACGGCTGGGCGCTACCACTCTACGTGACTTCTGCTCAATTCGCTACCGATCGGATTTAGTTATGCATGGATTCGGAACCTTTGGCCATATGAGTGTACAATCTCTCTCTCTCTGAATGTCACGGCCCCATCTAACCGGAGGCACGGCTGGAACCTCGTGTTCCACTCTGCGTGACGGTCACGGCCTCATCTAACCGGAGGCACGGCTGGAACCTCGTGTTCCACTCTGCGTGACTCTACTCGTCACTCACAGGTTCCCCATCGCACAACTTACTCTATTCTCCTCTTCAACTCTTGTGCACAAGATCTCTACCCTTTCTCTAGCTACTCATCACTAGCTACTCATCATAATGTAGCTTAACTCTTAGAGTAATTCTCTACTCTTTCTCAACTTTTCTCTTTGCTATCAGAGTATTCTCATTCTCTTTACTCTTAAGAGTTGCTATTCTCAACATTCTCTACTCTTTCTTACTCAAGCTATTGCTTATAATATAGCTTATACTCAAAATTTTCTACTCTTAAGCTAGTACTCATAAGGTAGCTCATACTCAACATTCTATATTCTCTCTCAAGCTACTTCTTAATGCACAACTAATGCATATGGATGGTTCATACTCATTAATGCACTTTTGAAATGCCAAATGCAAGATTTCCTCAAAACTGTCATTCTGCACAGGTCACACTAAAAAGACCATAACTTTCATTATACACCTCTGATTACTACGGTTCTGGTCTCGTTTCAAAGCTTAGAAACAGGGCTATAACTTCTATGTTTTGGTCTCAGCCCAGTTCAATCCGTAACATGCCCAAAAATCACTTAGAAAGTTACGGCAGTGACAGGGCAGATTTCACTTAGGCATTTCATCAAACAACTTATGTGCATATAAAAACTCTTCTCTAACTACAACTCTCCTTCTCTTTTTAACCATCCAGAATTGGAAGTAAATTCCCTTCTATGGGCATAAACCCTATCATAGAAAAACACTCCCAAAATACATACTCAATCTCCTCCAACTTCATCTCAAACTATTACTCATAAACACTTTCCATAAAGGAAATATCCAACAAACATAATATAAATACTCTTCTCAACTCAATTTCTCAACAAATAGACATACATCTCTACTCAATTTCTCAATAAGCATCATATATACATGCATAAATAACTCTCTACCTAAGAATTTCTTAAACTTTAGCTTTAGTTGGATTTACTTATCTCATACTTGAGTAGTCTCCACTAAAGCTCTCTACTCTTGTTGGATCATAACTTTCCCTTATTTCCTAAGCATAAACTTAGTAAGAACTTAACCCTTACTACATTGTGTACTTTTTTATTATGTGTGTTAGTACATTGTGTTAGCACTTAACCATATCCCACCGTGGATATCTTTTGCTATGTAATACCCTGCTTTTCGTTAAGGATTGTAAATGTTGTTAATTAAATGGTAATCACAATATAAAATAGTGTTGCGTATTGTCATATATGTTGTTGTTGTTATTATGATATCCAATTATCATGTGCTGCAATAGTTATCTTAAGTGCAAGGTATAACAGACTTACTGAATGTTTTGTACTTCCTGATTCTTTTTTACATGATTTTCAATTTGATTGTCATCTGTATTTTTTACACATGTTCAGGGGGAATGACATCTACACAAAGGTAGAGAGGGGAAAGTGTCGAGATTGGGTGCCATGGATAGTCACATGCCACGCGACCACTGTGCAGAGAGGACAAAGATGAAGGTTAGTAATTTGATTTCATAAATTCTTACATTGTTCGTGGAGGACTGATCAGTATTTGCTTAAGTCGGTTTGCACATATTATGCATTTTTAGGTGGAATGGAACCCGTACAGAGGGCCAAACCGACTAGTGCCGACCATGGCTGCCATGGTGATTCAGACGTTATAGGGACGGTCTGTAGGCAGAGCAAATTTGATGGTAAGGAATGTGGTTTCATATGTTTGTTCTTTAGGGAACATAACAACACTTCACAACATAATGAGGTCAATTTGCTATATAGGTGAGAAACCTCCACGACGGGCAAGCAACCGCATTGCCACCAATAGACAACATGGAATGTTGACCAACCAAATGTTTGACCGACACTTGGGGTATGCTTCTCACATGTGTCCATGTAATTTTTAAATCGAAAACTTTTTGGTAGTGTTGATAATTTAGGTTATGACAGGAAATTGTGGACAAGATCTACACATCTTGACATATCGGATTTCAAGTGTCTCGATTCCATGTGGTTTTTCTTGTATTCCGTATGAGCTAATAGGCAGAAGGTTCTGAAATGGATTAAAAAATAAGGACATATTCTCTACGAAATATGTGTTCATTCCCATTATATTATGGTTAGTTAATGTTTGCTGATTTTTATAAATGCAAGGTAATTTTCAATTCTATTGATGGAGATGCTATTATTGTATATTTCTGTATATGCAGGGGTCACTAGAGTTTGCTGATCTTATGCAACTTTGGGGAAGTAGCGCGATCAGAACCGAACATAAGCTGCATGTTATTGTTGGACTCACTTCGTTCGGCTAACCCAAGGAGGTTTCAGCCTCTGATAAGAAAGTAAGGTCTTCAAACAATTTTCAAGATCCTGCTCCACATTTTTCACTTGTGTTGGAGTATGTGGCCAATAATGCGGCTAATTTTATTTACACAACTTGTTCCAGGTTTGCCCTCGATATCACTGATGCTAAAACAACGACAGAAAAGACTAACCAAATGGTTGATATACCTCTCATGGTGCCTAATGTGTGTAGGGTTACACCCCACAGGGGTCACATTTTGGATTTTTGTTGTCATTTGTGTGTATGCTCACTGACTGACTAAATGTTATGTGTGTCCAGGTGCCCTAACAAAGGAACCAAACTGATTGCGGCTATTTTGTGCTTTATTATATATATAAGTTCCTCGAACATGCACCAGCGAAATTTTCCCTAATCGAAGGGTACCCGTACTTTGTAAGTGTTGCATTGTTCCATTGCCAGTCATAATTTTTTACATCATTTTCCATCAAGATACAACTGGTTATTTATTATGTCGTTGTGTAACTTGTGACTCCCCACAGATGAAAGAGGATTGGTTTAGGGAGGATGATGTCAAATCTTTTCGTGAGAAACTGTTGTTGGACGTCGCATAGAGTGAGGCAGTGGTAAACTTTTGCTGTCGTAATTGCCGATTGAATATAATATAGACTATGTCACCATTGATCATGACCTACCATATCATGGTCATGAATTGTATTTCCATCAGTAACAAGTATGATTTCTTGACTTGTATAGGGCTGTGAAAACAACACAAAAGGTTAAAGCTATGAGTAACGTGCATTTGGCTAAATTGTTTTATTGTAAATTATGTGTTTCCCTAACTGTTGTACAAAAAGCAGTTCATGTGTTACAAAATATAGTTTGAAAACAATTCAACATTGTGATCAAGGCACAATTGGAATATAAATGTTAGAAATTTTATATTAAAATATATATTACATAGAAATGTTTGTTTCAAACTGCTAAATTATAATAGTTTCATCAGATGTATGGATGGTAGGATGTGTTTCGGTATGGGCTGAAGGGGGTGTGGATTATGGATTGTGCTTCTGTGTTTGGAGAATTTTGGTAGGACTGAGTGCATTTCAATGTCTGGTATGTTGTTGTGAGAGGAATGGGTTTTCTGTTGTTTCTAGGTTGTTGTTTTGTGTTCTCTTTGGTTGTAGTTTTAAATTTTTTTGTGGCAAGAGTGTTTTAGCTAAATTCTCAAATATAAAGGGTCTGGGTAATTGTTATTTAGCAGACATATAAGGGCAAATGTGTCCGAAATGATAAAATATTAAGGGCAAAATAGGGTCAAAATTAAGATTACCTCAGTAATCTTATATTAACACCCCTTGGAAAGGTAATGTGATTACCCTCAATATTACCATTTACCAACAATAAACACTATTTGCAATAAAAGATTACGTAATATTTTATTACTTGACAACTAAACGAGGGAATCTTGAAAATTAAACTAAGATTACAGGATTAATCTTATATCACCCCGAACCAAACGCTACTGAAGGAAATATCAAGGCAACTGTCAACAGTAGCACATAACAAAATTTTGATTCTAGTAACCTCTCAGCATCACACTCATGTCATGCCAGAGCTCTTCAACTGGTTTCTGGACAAATAGGAATGCTCATGCACAAAAACCAAAATTATCATGACCATTCAAGAAAATATATTCAAGTTTTCTCCAAGTACAATGAAAAATACGTTCACATTACAGTTTCATATACTCATCAGTGTTTGCTCAAAAGAATTTCTGCTGTGCTATCAGCATTTTGAATACAAAACTACATAATTTGACAGTCACAAATAACATGAACCTCTCCCATCTTAGCAATTCAGTACTGAATCCCGAAAGTTCTGAGTCATGCATGATCCTTTTCGTTGAAGAGTACAAAGAATATCCCCGAGCTGAACACAAACTGATGATCCACTTTGATAAAATCTGCGAAATCATCAACTCTTCCACACCCCATCTATCAACAGCTAATAAGTTAACCTTCCAAAACACTGGGGGAGTTACCAGAGACAACACAACAATTGTAGAGAGGTCAATCATAAGCTATAACTTCACCTGTTAATTCAGTTTTACAAAGAATTAAACCCAAAAAGACAATGCTGAAGAAATCCTAAGCCTTGGACCGCCTAAACTCAAACCAGATCTCATAGTGATTAAAAAGCAAGCTATCATGTGTATGCTTCCCAATATATTCAAGTCCCAAGCTTGTGAGCCTCTTGGTACACTCCTCCCCTCCTAAACGTGAACAAAACTTTATATTATGTGACACAAAGATTCGCCCATCATAAGGTTTCAACTTATTAGCTAATCTCTCCAGTCCAACCCACACAAGTTTATCAGGCATATGAAGAAACACAGCACTGGCATATATCAAATCGTACACAACTCTGGAACCAAACTGCGTAAGATCCATATCCTCGCCTCGCACAATCAAAGGGCGCTTATTTAAAAGACCTTGAGCAGGAAGTTCATATCTGAATGCAGCCATTAATGAGAGCTCATCTCGCTCAAGGCAATGAAAGTGTTCAGGACTTAGATACCGAATAAAATGCAGGCCTACACGAAGCGTACCACACCCAATCTCAAGGACACGTGAATTGGGCGCCAAGTGACTAGCCTCAGCAAGGAACTCAAACACATCTCGACCACCTGCCCAGGGCTCCCCATAGTTGCTGTGATGCTCCTCCACAAGGAGCTCACCGGGGCATGGGAGGGCTGTGTGGTTGTTCGCTTCAGGCTCTTCATAATGTGATATGCCTTTGAATCTGAAACAAATCACACAAATCAGATCACAATCATAACAAAAGGACTACATTAATAATTGCTATGTTATCGGATCAAATCCCTAAATAGGCATACAGAAAACTTCTATTACACTAAACTGAAATATAAAGCGTTTAAATTAAGCATTTATTTACTTATTAAAAGAAAAAAAATATATACTGTTTTAATTTCTTGAAATCCAAGAAAACCGGAACTAATTAATTCATAATTAAATGACAAATTATTAAAAAAAAAAAAAAATCTACAATCCATAAAACTAAGACTCACTGGATGAGATCTTGAAGTTGCTGAGCTCTAGTGCGGGGATTAATCCCTTTTCTCAACACATTGTCTTGCATATGAAGTCCGTTTCGAGAGATCTGATCCTTCAGCCACTCAATGTCGGCTGCCGTCGGCGAAATCCGGTCTCCGGAGCGGTACTCTGTCGGCGGCACGTCAGCGGAAGAGGAAACGGCGGGGTTTGAGGCGGCGATAGGGCAGTTGCAGGTGGAGAGAGAGGAGAGGAGGAAGAACAAGAAGATGGCCGCGACGGAGAGCGTGAGAATGAGAACCGGTACGGTTATTACGATTCCCTTCTGTTGTGTTAACGCCATTTTTGTGATCCGTGGTTGAGTTTTGGTTGGGTTTGGTTTCGACTCCAGGCGAGGCTTGACTAGTTGATGAATGGATCAATGGACGATGATGATCTGTTTCGAGAGTGTGCTTGCTGGTGTCGTACGCCGTGCTTCGGGCTGGAACTGGATACCATAGAAGGGGATTTTGCCTTTTTTTTTTTTTCTCTTTTTTTTTTTTTTTTTCTTTTTTTAATTCTGTAAGATCGTTGAGGATAAAGGGTTGAACCGGTTGGTCCGTGACCCGATGGGTCAAAATTAATGTTGAAGCCCTACCCAAACATATTGCCTAATATTAAAATTTTAAAATTTATATATGTCACTTTTATTATATATATTTTAATTAAATTGTCTACTGATTATAAATGGAATTTGGATCAATTTGAACAAATTTGGGTAGAATCTTTATAAATCTATCCTTTTATCTACTATCTAGAGCTAATTATCAATTAAATAGTTTCTGAACAAGTATTCATAAAAAACCTCAAGTGATTGGTTTGATGGTTAAAAAGATTTATTTCCTTCATTGATATTTTAAGTTTGGACCTTAGGGTCACATATCACATTTATGGCTTATCTTAGAACATTAGACTTGTAAAGTATCAAATGAGTTCTGAGAACTAGTCAAAGTGCGCGCAAACTAGCTTAGATACTTCAATCACAAAAAAAAAAAAAAAAAAAAAAAAAAAAGAAGATGTTATTCATGAAAGGGTTTTACTTTATTTATCTCATGTTATTCATCGGCTTTATTTATTTTCATTCTTTTAGGTGTCTAAGGGTATGTTTGTTTTAGTATTTTGGATAGTATTTTTTATATTTTTAGAGTTTGGTGGGAATAACAAGGTAAAATTTAAAAACTAACAAAACACCCCTCTAGGTTTGCTAATTTACGAAATACCTTAATATATAAAATTTTTATAAAATGACAAAAACACCCTCACCTATAGTTGCTAGATTCCAACCACCATCGCCGGAATCTAGCGTTACGACGCATGACCGACCGAACTTGGCTGTTCGTGTGTCGATATGGCCTTTTTTGGCCAGATCCACCACGGATCTGGCTGAAAAAATGCTAGATCTACGGCCGTTTCTGGCCGTCGACGACCAGATCTGGCTGTCAGCGACGACCAAAGATATGGATGTCATTGACGACCAGTTACGGCCAGATCCACAGTGGATCTGACCGAAAAATAATAGATCGACACACTACTGGCCAAAGCCAGCAGATAGTATGCCATTATACCAGATTCCGACCACCTTCCGACAATGGTGGCCGAAAATATTGGTGGGTGGAGGTGTTTTTGTTAATTTTTAAACTTTTTTTCTGAGAGTGTTTAGTTAAATTAATAAACTTAAGGGATTTAAATACAGTTGAAGAAAATATAATAATATTTTAAAGATACTGAAACAAACAATTATTTTGAGGATAGGATTGGAAATAGGATCCCAAATAATGAAACAAACGAACCCTAAGGTATCCAAATCTATATTGGAGTCTGTCTAATTCTCAGGGTCACGGAACATCCTACAAACCCAATAGACTAAGATAATTGCACAAATGTGATAGATACCTTCTCTTGCGACTTGAATACAAGACCCCTTAGATATAACTAACGGATTGACCATCCGACCACAAGGGGAGAGGTTCGGCTTTATTGAAAAATATTAGTAATTATTAGGGTTTTTTTATTTCTTATTTTTTAGTTTTGAAATCATACAAAGAGATATATAATACTTTTCAATAATAACGAAAGCATTTCTTATAAAGCAATATCACAATGTTGTAAATTAAATAAACCCTTCATTGAATGTTGACTAACAAGTGATTAACATGAAAAAAGAAAGATCTAAGAGTTGGGAGAGCAAACTCTGCAGAAGAGATTTTAGTACATGTAATGAATCTCACCGAAAGACTGAAATCTTAAAAAGTGCTATTACTAATGATTCCAAGCATCATTTGGCAATTACAACTTACTGCAACATGTTAATGAAGAGTTAACAGTCACAATTTTTTACCTAAACAAACCTTCCTTCCTTCTTTTTTCTAATGGGATCATGTAAACGAACCAAAACCATAATTTACAGATCCCACCAAGCCTAAGAAAATCACCCTCTATCATATATCATCACACGCTTGTATATAAACTCCCTAAAACTCCACCATATCAAAACATGAACAATCAATCCCCCACCAAATGAAAACAAGAAAAGAAAATATAAAAGACAACGGAAACTAACACCACACATTTAGGAATATACCATATTTTATCAGTCTTGCCAAACAAAATCATTTTGCCATTAGATAAAATCAGACATCCTTCTTCGGTGGTAACTGAGTTTAACTCTTAAGTTTGGATCTGAAGAAGTGACCATCTTGCTTCGAGGCATGGAAGTTGTCTTTGAATCCAAGACTACACTTCTCGGACTCTCTGTGGTGTGACCATTTGCTTCTGAATATCTTGGTTTTTTGTTTGAACTTTGTAAGATTACTTTTAATCGAGAATCTATGAAGCTAAGGGATTGAGAACCTGAGAATAGTGCTGAACTTTTAGACCCAGTTCTCAAACTTTTTGACTTTGTACCAATGTCTCTTTCTGCAGCACTTTGCCTTTGACGACTTGCTACGGTGGAAATCATGAACCGAGGGAGAGAATTGCCTGTATTTCTTCTGATTATTTTATCGGATACTTTAGGGGTTGCAACTGCTTCTTTAAGATTTTCTTTAGGACTTGAAGGGATCATTTCTTCAGCTTTGATAGGCTGATAAGTGGTTGAGAGAAGCTTTTTCTTTTCACTTAATAGGAACTCAACCTCTTGCTTTTGATTCCTGACTTTCTGACACTCAACATCGGCTTCTCGCATCTCCTCCTCAAGCTGTGCCATTTTTTTCTCCCTCTGCTTTTTCAAGTCCTAGATGTAAACGATGATAAATATCAGAATTGGTTGCAAATTTTAAATGCATAGAATGCCGACTATTATGAAGGAACTCAAGATTCGTACCTCTGGTAGCTCTCTATTGGACTCTATCCCTCTTGCTCGCTTTGCAAAGTTCAAAGAGCAAATTGTCTCACCCACATCTTCTTCACAAGGGCTTACATGAACTACCATCAACACCTTTGAACCATCACCTACAGAAAATAGGATTGAGAAGCATAACTAAATTTCCAATATAATTATTGAAATAGTTCCACGGTATCATAAAGAGATCATTTTCATCATGTTTACTTTAGTATTGTAATGAGTTAAACAGCTCAAATCCACAGTGACAAAGAAGTCAACACAATAGCCGAAAAAAAGAAATGCTTCATGTAGATCCATGTAAACTCCGTTCAAACGCAATGTAGATCCAAGTTGATGGAATTTATCTTCTTTTGCAGTGTCAAAATGGAAATAATTCATGGTTATCACAAAAGTAGAGTTCACAGCCAAAAGGAAAAAGAATGAGCTGTTACCGAGAGAGTCTTTGAGGATCTGAGTTAACTTGCTATTTCTGCAACCAAAAAAATTAAAGTTAAGAGTTAGGAAACAAGCAACAATTAAACAGAGTTATCCTAAAAGCATAAAAAACTTGTAACCTCATCCCACTCCTAGCTTATAAAAAGAAGGGAAGGGATATGAAAGCTAAAACCAACTAAGAACCTACCGGAAAGGTACATGGCCTCTCTTCCTTCTTAAAGCTGCAATAACATCAGCCAGTGCAGAAAGAGAGAGATTTATGGCCCTTCCCTCATCAAGTGTTTGACCTGTGGCTCCTGTTTTCAGTACTCGCTCACTGCCTCCAAGATCAACCAACCAAATTTTGCTTACTTCTCGTTTAGCATTCAAAGTATCCCCATGGCGGAAAATGGTGATCCTTGTTAAGCTAGATATATGAACTAAACAGATAAAGTAATTATCAAAACAAATAATTCATCAACAAAATTCAAAACCAAACTCGACCTGAAACCCACCAGTGTGACCTGCTGGATGCCTCGTTAACATTAGTCCAAGAAGTTGATCTAACCCGCCTTCCCTTGTTGTACCAACATCGGGCCTTTTCAAAATCTGGGATTAGCACCTCTGTCAGGCCCTCAACTTCTACCATTCCCTTTGAATCTGTTTGAATGTTGAGATTGCTGCAGTAGAGTTTGCCGAATTACAATAAGCAAATTAAGTGAATGGCCTTCATTTTGATTTCAAAAACCTCTGATTGATTCTGGGCATTCAGGGAAATATAATTACCATTTTGTAACAGCTTCATATGCTTTACATACTGGTTTTGGAGCTAGTAGATCTCTCAGGTTACCCATGTAAACCTCCAACATGCTCATCGAAAAACTTACAGAAGTTGAATTATCCAAAGAGGCTTGACGAAAAAGCTCTTCCAGAGCTCGAGGAACAATTCCAGGCTGGTCACCTGTGCCATCCTGTAAAATCATCATGCCCCAACATATCAATGAAAAATTATCAAAGTTTCAACCATATGAATTCAAGAATAACATATTTTAAGCACTGACCATTGTAAATGTCTTGCCAGTACCAGTCTGGCCATAAGCCAAAACACACACATTGTGCCCATCAAGTGCAGATCTAAGAATGGGTTCAACCTCAACAAAAACATCCTCTACAGAGATTTTAAGCAGAATAAAGTCTCTTAGAGAGCTGGAAACAGAAAACATATACAATTAAACCAGGAAAAAAACACATGAAATCAGATGCTAACCTTGACTAGCTTCTTGATTAAACACCTTATCGAAGCCGAATTCTTTCTTGCTTCCAGCTGATCTAACAGCAATCTTCTCCAACCCAATCAATATAGGTTCACGGATTCTTCTGTCCATGAACCGGAATGATTTTACTCGACAAAATACTCTAATACTACCTGCAAATTAAAATCAACCTTTAAAACAAGGGCCAAGAAAAAGGTAAAGTTCCAAGCTCAATTAAACCAAAAACAATCTTAGTACCTTTAATATCTAAAATCTTGTTCAGTGCTTCTCTTCTCTTCTCATCCAAGGACCTCTTCTTCAACCTTAATTGCGCAAGTTCTCCTACACAATCAAATCAAACAGAAATTAAAATTCATATAATAATGACAACCATTGTTTACTATAATACAAAGTCTCCAAATTTGCAGCAACTTCATAATTGAACTGACATTCTGCCATTGCTTAGATAAAGACAAATGACCTATGGACCACATTTTGCTGCAACTGGTAGTTGAAAGATCTACCTTCAAGATTGGATATCGATTGTTCAAGCTCGGTCTTTTGATGTTCAGGAACAACATTGACATCAGTATAAATGGAAGGAAGCGGTGGTAAAGAATCAGACAAATCAGAAATAGGTGGCAACGCATCAAGGGAATCAGGGTTTGATCCCATTGGAGATGACTTCAAGTTCAATGACCCTTTTGCATCCTCTGAATGCAAAGAGATCTGCTCTTCCTCAGTTGAAATGAACATTCAGAAGCTAATAAAAGTAACTCCAACTCACCCAAATAAAAAAATGTTGACACAAAAACAAACAACAAACACTTTTCCAAAATTAGAATATGAAGCAACCTGCGGCTAGCTAACTCTTCTTCTGTTCAACAAAACCCCATAAATATACAACCTTAAAACAACAAAAATAGAGATGAAGTAACAATAAAGCTAAAAAGCAAAGATCATTGAACACAGTAACAAGAACATAAAACAAACAAAGGAAAAAACTAGAAAAACAAGCAGACTTTATGAGGATCAAGAAGTAAAAAAGGAGAGTAAAGATTATTCAAAAACCCTATAAAGATTTTAGAAACCCCGGAAGAGAGGAGAAGAGAAAACAATGTGTGTCGGAGTTAGTTTCAATGATTGAACACTCTTTGGACTCTGATTATTAGGAGGTGAAAGCGGATGTACAGAGTTTATTACTTTCATTTATTAATATTATATTTATTTCCCCTTTTGGGCCCTGTGGTTGGGCCCAAGTACAATAAGATCCAGAAAAATCTAAAAATAACACTTAAATCATCATCAGACATCAGTTAACAACTGTGCAAATATATATATATATATATATTTTTTTTTTAAGTTTGACCCCAAGGTGATTTGAGCCTAAAAAATCAATAAAAAGAACAAATCTTCTTGATCATCAAATCAATCCCTTGGATTTTAACATTAGACTTATGAGGTATTCAATGGACCCCAAGGATGAGTTGAGGTGTGCACAAACTAGTCCGAATATCTCGATCATCAAAAGAAAATAAATCCAATTCTGTTAATTTTATTTTCTTATAACTAATAGAAATACATAATCATTCTCAAATCTTTAGTAGAACTATTAGTTAACAGTCGTTTAATTTTTTTTATAATTATGTTAATATTTAATGTCATTTAAATAAGACAAGATTACAGATAATTTAGATTTTTACGGAAAAAAATTCGTAAAAATCTAAATTACCTCTAGTCTATTAATTTTCATATTCTTGTAATTAACATAATAATTATAAATTTTTAACATATATTGNCTTTAGTAGAACTATTAGTTAACAGTCGTTTAATTTTTTTTATAATTATGTTAATATTTAATGTCATTCAAATAAGACAAGATTAAGGATAATTTAGGGTGTGTTTGGTTTATTATTTTGAATAGGATTTTGGGAATAATATTGGATAGTTGAGTAAGGTTATGATTACAAGAATAGGATTTGAAAAATATGTGTTTGGTAGAGTATTTTGACCTTGATATTTGTGTTAAATATTTGATTGATATATTTTTTTATAAATGATTTATTAATCTAATATTTTGGTGCATTTTGTTAAAATAATGTATTATTATATATATAACTTATCAATTTACATTTTAATAATATTAAACATTTTATTGGTAATTTTGTCACTAGTAAATATTAAAAAACAAAAACTCATATTAATTTCAAGTACTAATTCAACTGTTTAAAAAAATCACATTAATACATATATGACAAAAGTAGTAATTACCTTACAATAATTCTTATACATATACTCCATTAACAACTACAACATGGTCCACTGTGCTACCCACAGTGCAATCGTTATGTTATCTCGTATAGTCGTCATGTTGTTTATAATACTTTGTTGCGGTTGACTCGATCCTTCTCCATTTCGGCCATTTTCTGCCCCGTTTTGACGATCACAATATACTTGCTCATTACCCATACTATTATTAGTCTGTTCGAAGATAGGGTCATCCATAGTGTACATTCTAATAAAATTATGAAGTACACAACATGCCATAACAATCTTCCCTTGTCTGTCCAACCGATTTTTGTTCATTCCATTCAGAATATGGAACCGTCTTTTCAAAACACCAAAGGTTCTCTCAACAACATTGTGTAGTGAAGCATGTCTGTAGTTAAACAACTCTTGTAGCCCCCTTCGGTTATGGCGGTGATCAGAAATATGGTAAGCCACTCGCCTATAAGGGGCGAGGAACCCATCTCTATTTGGATAACCCACATCAACCAAATAATATTTCCCTGTAATAATATGAGACATTTTATTTGAATTACAGGGCCTCAACAATGGAGCAAATACGCTATAAGATGTCAAGAAAATACTTATACCTGGTGGAGGATGTGGGAATCCAGAATTAGGATCATCAAGAATTGAATTTAAAACTCTTGAATCATGCGCAGATTCTTCCCATCCAGTAACGACATAAGTGAACATCATCCTAATCATCCTAAAGTCGCATACAACCATTACATTATGTGACAACATTCGTTTGCGATTCCGGTACCTATCGGCAAATTCATGTGGAACCGAAGCGTATACATGTGTGCCATCAATGGCTCCAATATAGTCCAATCATCAAAATTGAATTTTACTCATATTAACCGACTATCAAAATTAATAACACAATGAACTTAACTATCCACTAATAGAAAACATAATGAACCAGTACCTTAAAGAAAGGGTAATATTTTCGATTGGCTGATATTTCCCATGGAACATCATTGAAGTCAGATGGTCTAATAAACTCTGTCTTCAACTCACATATAGCCTCGCAAACTGCACCAACATGTCTAGAGATCGTCTCACTCGAATGTTGGAAATCCTTCATCATCATTTTGATTGTCTCGTTTTTTTCCAACGATTGTTAGAAATATCATAACTTGTTTTTCCAAACTCGTCTTCCTAGTTGGTTGCAATTTGCCTTGATCGGACAAAATTTCACATAAGTATGTAAAACAGTCTTTGTCCATGCGGCACTTGTCATAGATCCTGTCAGGATGACCATTGAGTACTTTCAACATGTACTCATGACCAATTAATACGGATGTATGTCGTAGTTGATGCCCAGTTGCTTCTAACGCGGCAACACCGCAGAGTGCAATGGTTATATCTATCAGTATTTCTTCTTCGTCATTTGTAGCACGTCGTCTTCTTCCTGTACGGCTAGATGACGCCATTTAGACCTGCACATTTGCAAAACATTGATCAACAATTAACAGTTGTTGTACTACTTAGCAAAATATAACAGTCAATATTTAATTCTAATGACAATCCAAAACGGGGTTGAAACATGTAATATCACATAAAACAATAACACAATTAATAAGTTCATACAGTAGCGTTATAAATTCTAATTGTAATGACAAGTGCCCGCTGACGCATACAAAATTGTTGGCAAACACTTAGGAAATATACTGTCATCTACAAATTGCTAAAGTTGTTATAAATCCAGTTAGCCTTTTCCTCGATCGGGCGAGAGTTTCACGAATATCTCCCGCTACCTTGGATTTTGATATAAGTACTTGATAACCGGCAGGTAAAATTCTGTGGGTACTTGCATGGCCGTCATGATGTCAATACAATTGCTCATGGAAAACAGATCAAATGGACCATTGGTATTCTCTTCGTCCCTCTCATTTACACAACGATTGGTAGCCCTCAATCCCATAGTCCGCTTCTCCACAAGCTCGTCCGTCAATCTACCAATGACATCTGCAAGTGATTGTCTCGGGCCGCTTCTATTCCTCCTATTTCTCGCTCTTCCATGGCCAGATGTGTTTGACCGTTTTGCCCCTGTCGTCCGATCTGAATCAGGTTCAAAGTCGCTATCATCCATACGAACCACGCCCTGATTGGAATAAATGGAGGTCTTCACCGGTTGAGATGTAGATGTGTACGCATTTCTCCCAATGGCAATTTGCTTCTCAAATATGATTTCATAAGCTCTTTGTGAGGAAGTCCCTTGTGGTAGAATTGTTGCGTCAGTGGGTTTTGCTGGTAAGTTAAAAAAAATATAGATTAATATATGGGAGTCCAAAAAAAAAAAAAAAAGCATACAATTACGAAGTCGTTGATTAATATTAGTTAAAAAAGATGAAAATTTACCTTGACATATTCTTGCCAAACCTCTACAGGACACGTTAGACTTTACGACTCATGATCCCACCCGAACCCCGTGTGTTGTAGCAATTTCCGCCATGTTTGATATACTCTTCACAGGCGAAGGAACTTAGAGGTTAGTTGTGTGACGTTGAGTCTCCTGCCAGCCACTGATGATATGTCGTTCAACATTTCCTGGTAATCTGCTATTTTTATTGAAGTTCGGTGCGAAGTTTTCGCCCGCTCAGATAACAAGACCAGAAATTTGTGGGTCATCTCAACGGACCAGGCTACAAAATCACTCATCTAAGGACAGTACGGTGAGACCGACAACCAACATTGGGACACCATACGAATCACCAATCATATTACAAAATATAATACTCACATGTGGTGGTAATCAAGTAAACACAGATAAACTTATACCTCATTCGATCTGACACCGCTTGAAGACGTCAATACAGGGGAAGATATAGACAATGTCGACCAATAGGGTGTATGATGAACTCCAAGTCTGGAAAAATGTCGACACTTTCGCCTCTGCTGTAAGTGCTAATCAATCCTGTGACGTCAAGACAAATTATACTGACATCTGTGCATATGAGCGTAATTTGTTGTTACGATTAAAGAATGATGTCAAATCTACAGAACAAATATATTAGTTAGTGAAATCCGAAAAAAAATATTTCTAATAATCTAATAATTTTTTACTCCCAAAATTTGTCCATTACATACAACATGTTACATACAAAACATATGAAGCTGCACAATTTTTTGATGCATGTGTTAAAAGGAATAATAAAAGGAAAAAAAAGTACTAACAATGGCAAAATTAAAATAGAAATAAGGACAATTGCGTTGGGTGTCTTAAAAAGGAACACGTCACGGAGGCTAACTAGATTCGCAAAAGCCAACGGGTCTCTTTTCCTTCGCTACGACAGATTTATAAATAAAAAAAAAAAAAAAAAAAAAAAAAAAAAAAAAAACAACGGATTAAACTCATTCGCAAACTCTAGCACTAAACAAATTCATGCTCACATCATACAGACAACACATTTATGATGAGAATGCAAAATGTCATATTTACCCCCCCTTAATGTCTAGTCTTTTATACTTATTTGTTGCCTAAATGTACTCATTATTATTCTATTTTGATTTAGGATGCAAATGAAGGCGTTGAATGCAAAACGGAACTAATTAGGTGAATTCGGACAATTTTGACATCGCTTCGTAATTTGGGCATAACTCTTTCATCCGAGCTCCGATTGAGATGATTCAAAATTCTGTAGAACCCTAAGAAATATATCTACAACTTTCATCTTTTGAGTTTGGAGAGATACTTGCTGAATCAAGGTTGTAATGGGGCTTGAATTTGGCACACCTGCACTACTGACGTTCTTGAACATTCTGCCCTATCATGCAAGTCAATGAGGCAGTTTATTATTGGAAGATTTGAAGACCTGTTGCACACAAGTTACAGCTGGACACACCACTTTCCTATTTTATTTTAGGACTTTAT